CACTTTTGGGGTGATGCGGAGTATCATCGATCCCAGTGAAACGATGTTAATAATACCCGGGTATACCCCCACCCTTGATCCTAAGACGACCACCTCAGGTTGCTTCAACGCTTATGGGATCACGGGCGTTGGAATCCAAAGCAACCCCGTCGACGTGTTTCTCCCTGTCCGTCTGAGTGCGGAGTGGGCGCAGGACATGTAAACGGTGTTGATGGGCCGACATTGGTCAGCCCGGAAGACGCAACGCTTAAGACCCCTTGGTGGGGAAATCCTTAGGCAACACTTCCCACTGGACCAAACGCTACCCGGTCGGTGTGGTTTCGGAATCAGACCCCATAGCGTGGGATGAGACCAAAACGCCCCCAACCGGATCCCAAGGTTGCTTCCCCAGACCTCGGTACCACAAATTTTCGTTTGGCAAACCAGGCAAAGGGGGGACAGCCGCGTTCCATGGGCATTCTCGCCAGCTCAATCGGAGACGGCCCATCCAGCCCTGAGGGCAGAATTGCTTGAGCGCATTATTGTGCGCGCCCAGGACTCCTAGACCAGGTGACACATTTACTGGCGGGCCACCGCACATCTACGTGCGACCTCCCCTAGTGTCACCTGGCTCTCTTGGCCGGGGCCACTACTGTGCTACAAGACACGGCCTTAGACGCACATGTTTTCGCCGACAAGCTGAGTCAGGGGGTACAATGTACGTCCCCACCTCAGTGACGCAGACTGGACATCTTCCACCCTCTTTGTTCAGGGAACGGTGGGTACAGTCTTAGAGCTTTGGAGTGCAATGAACCAGAGGGTTCAGATCGAATCCGCTAGCCAGTTGACCCTGCCAAGGACAGGCGGAGGGCAACCCAAGCACAGAAAAACACAACGCCCTAGGGTATCATCCGCTAGCCAGAGTCAGCCAGGAGACAAGCGCTCATACCCTTCCATGGAAGGGAAGAGTAGTGGCACGCCCCCAGGGAGGAAAGAGCCAGGTGGTGGCTCCTCACCCTTCCTGGGCGGACGTCAACCCCGGCAGCGGGGGAAGCGTGTTTGACGCTCACCTCTGCAACCGGGGGGACAGACATGCGTTTGGCGAGTGGCCAGGTCACAACTTAGTGACTACTTCAGGCCCTGGGGAACTCACCTCATGGGAGAAGGGAGCACCCCCCTCGCAACTGCCGAACCCATGGCCACATATCCCTGTCGTACACAGATTGCGCCAGTGTAGTCCGGTTTGGATACAGCGGGTGACCGTTCCCTGGACCTTTCCAGGTGGTGACATCCGGGATTACGGGATACCGCTGAAATCTCCATCTCCACCGTCAGTG